GAGCTTTTCTCAATCAAGAAGGATCATAAATAATCCTTGGAAATTTCCGAGTGTAACGCGCTCCTAAGTGGACGTATACGAGCTAATTGCTTCGACGGTACCCCATATATACGGTTTAATTGCTCCAACTGCAGCAGCAGCAACGAAACCGTCCTCAGAACTTGCTATCAAGCGAGAACCTACTTAAAGAAGTTACTCCTCCCTTCCGTTCGCATCTGCAAGGGATGCGGCGATGTAGCGCTTGTCTTAAGCGCCGACGGCCGCGATTTAATAAAACGGAGTTTCATATTACACGACGCCTTAATAACTATTAATTTCCATCTCTTTATCTCCCGAATAAATGAATATTTTACGAGAATTTATGAATCCGTATGATCCCGCCTATCAATAAGGCTTGGAACATTGGAAGCTTATTTTCAAAACAATAAATACGTGACGCGATGATTGACTCGTGCTTGACTCCATCGAACCGTGAGCTTTGTTTCGTCAAGAAAATAAACACGAATTACGAATACAACGTGAAATAAATATGTTATCAATCACGCACGTGTCACGCTCAAACGAATTGAAAGATAACCGGTGGTTGATCGATTTAAAAATTCACCGCGATTCGAGAGAAAAAGTTGAACAAAACGCAAATGACGAGCGTATGATTGAAGACAGAACTGACGTTTCGTTATTCTATTTATTCCGTGTTTTTTTTTTCTCTACAATATAACGATGCATGCTTCGATAATCTGGATTTCCGTTAATAACTAACAACTTGAAAGCCTCTCACGAATGTACGCAATTGCAAATATTCGATTTACAACGGTGCGATGTTTGAACAGCGGGCGTGCAAAAACGGGGAACGCGATGCGACAACGCGGTACTCAAACGGCGTTTAATAATTTCCTTTGCTTCCTTTTTTTACGAAAATCAATAAATTACCTCGCATGAGAGTCTCCACTGATTGGAAGTGCCGATAACAAGTACGAATTTCTATGCGATCGTTTGCTTCGTGATTGCTCGACATTGTCACAACTATTAATTACATGTTAAATTTCGTTGGAATAAATATTGACTTAAATATAGCGAATTTAGTAACCAACTTAATTCTCAAGACACACTAAATATCCGTATCTGTTCCTTGATATTTTTCCGTCACACAATCTTCACAGATAACATTGGTACATCAGCAGATGAAAGTCACGCATAACCATATCCGTGTTAATTAATACGTCTGAATCAGCTTTGTGCGATTAGAGATTCCTAACTAATGGACAGGCTCTCGGATTTCACGAACCGTACTTGCTCACATATGTGTGACGTATAGGTACCTCTCGCGACAATTTCACACCTAAAGATTGTTCCATCTACAAAATTATAAAATTATTTCAATCTTTAGAATACCATAATTGGGGGGGGGGAGATAAATATTGAAAAAGAAATTGCTTGTATACCGCGTGTTTCGCATGTAGAATGGAAAACTTTTCCACGATGCAAATGGACGCGAGTTTGTTCGCGTCGGACAGCTGTTCTTCAAAAATTGAGAGCTTTCCGCGTAGCATAACGATTTGCATATCGGAATTCTAACGAAAAGCTACTGCTGCAATCGCCGCGTGGCGGTTTGTGCCGTTACGCGGTGCAGTTTCACGGTTGTAATCGAAATGGTTGCACCTCTGGGAACCGTGCGGTTTTCGCCGCGCGCGCTGTTTGTACGATCTTCCGCGGGGGCGTATTATGCGCTAGCCAAAAACCACAGACGACGAACTTCGGACCCGGTCATGATTAAACCAGTATTAAACCCAAAGCTTCGGGAAGCGGGCGACGACGTCAAAGTGTGCGCGTAACAACAAACTTCGGCTATGAACTCCACGAATCTGCCAAGTGCATTTGCGATCTGCCAGAATCGTTGTTCTCATGGTGGTTTCCATTGGATCAGCGATCACCATTAACGCTCAAACTATTGGATGGCGCCGGAAGTCGGCGGTGTCTGGCAAAGCTTTTTTCTTCTTGAAAGAAGCTGGAAAATTTGTAAATCGATACGATAACCTATATTTGAGCGGTAGAATTTTTAATGCTAATCGAATCAGCTCGTCTCCTCCGGAAAAGTATTCTCGTCACCGATGTTATTTCTAAAAATGTTGCAAATGTCAAAGGTTGCATTGGATCCATTTCGCGCTTTGAATTTGCATATTTTCTCATTTGCCTCGAATAATCGAGAGAATTAATTATTGCTAAATTTAGAGCCAAACGGATTTTCCATGGGAATAGAACAGCAACGTTCGTATTTATCGTTGAGTTTGGTCGGTTGTGATCAGTCGTGATCGACTGACGAGTTAGCCGAGCTAACTCCCACGAGAGTGGCTGTACAGGTCAACCTGTAAATCCGAACGCAATGAAGACCACAAAATTTACGGGCGAGACGTGTAAGCACGTTCCAGCATAAAATCGCCTCGGCAGAACTTTCGAAACGACCGATTTCCGCAACCGCGTAGAAATATTTAATGTCAGAATTTTCTAAAAATTGATAGCCAACGAAATTTTTGAGATCTACCAAAAATTTCACTTGCGACAAAATATATGATGAAGATTTATCATTGCTTCCAAAACAGACATTATTACAAATTGAATAAAATACTCATATGAGCAACAAGTAATTAAAAAAACATTAACATTGTTGATGACATTAAACTTCTAAACCGTTCGTAATTAATTTTGTTCAAGTATTTTTCTCACAGATTTATAATTAAATATTATCTCAGCGCGATTGCACGTGTCATACGAAGTGGCAGGATTTTGAACTGCAGAATTTTTCCAACAGTCTGTCACGTTACGGCTCGAACTTGTCTCTCTTTCTCTCTTTCCCTTTTTCTCTCCAATCTCGTATCCTCGCGCAAAACAATTGTGCAGATTACGATCTTCGTTTTTCTGCGCTTTCTTTGTACATCCTACAAATAGCGCGCGAACGGCATTAGCGACAACTTCACTATACTCGAAACACGTAAAATTTCCTTCCTCCATTTTTTTCCACTTTTAATTCCGTCGCGGTGAGAGACTTTATCTCGATTTTGATATTAGAGATTAATTTAACATACTCTTTATTGATGAAAGCGTGGAACGTACGTTATGTTCGAATATTAATCCGAAATAGGCAATAAGTCTGACCGCAGACACGGGTCGCTCGATGACATACCGCGACGGTTTAAAACCCATTAGGGTCAGGATGGATTAAGAGGAAGTGACCAGAGTCCATTTAGCGCGTGTTTAATCGATTGCTGACTACTCGAATAAACGCGATGGAAATTGACTTACCGATAGCCCTCTCCGCGCCTCTCTACGCCGCCTCTTCCTCCTGCGCTGATCCCCTCTTATTACAAGTGAGCGTATAATAAAAATATCACAAGACGCAGCTAAGAACGCGTCTTCTTCTGCACACTCTCGTGTCTCGCTTACGGAATAGCCACTGCTTTTTCATTTTTATCCAGTTTTACCGCAGTTTTATTTCAGCGATTATTCCGAATTGCGAGAGGCGAGCGCATAAAATGTAAAGATTTCCTGAAATAAACGCTTGTAAAGGTGTGTAAATCATTCGGGAATCATATGTTACATAAAAATATATTTTTTCTATACAGTTTTGTGACAGCATAACATATATTTTTGTACTTTATACAATATTGTAGGATACGTATACTTGCTACAATATATTTAACGAAACTGCATTGCGACAATGGGTACGTCATTGTGCATTGCACATCAAAATGTGTTAGATACTTGGCTAACCGTTAATTAACGAAGGAAAGTTTTCGGAATATCTCGAGCTCACGTGGAAAATGAGAGGAACGTGAAAGGAGCGAAAAGGACGAGGCGCAGAAGAGAGGAGCCAGTTAATACCTTCGGAACTCTACTAACAAATTGCGGAAACGAGCTCGGATTACTATCGAGCATCTACGATTTTCCTGAAACTTCCTGAGCGACGTACCTAATCGGAATCGTTATCAGGAGTTAGGACGTCAAGAGGATTCGTTGCGAAATTTATTCACCAATAAACGAAGCTATACGTCATCGCTAGATTTACACCCATAAATATAAGACTATGAATATATAAAAATGTTAGCGGAAAAAATAATCTATCACATATACATATTCACTTGCGAGACAAATGTGTATGGCAAGAAATGCAACTAAATAAAAATGGCAACTTTGCGCAACGGTGTTTCCCTCAGATCTCTGCTTTTCTAAACATTTTTCTCAAGTAGAGAAGCCTATATTTCGGTATACAATCTAAATATTCTTATTGGAGCGTTTCAACTGATTTTCGCAACCGTATTATCGCCTCCTTAATATCATCTTGCATTTGTATATTCATAATCCATAATTAAAGATTTAGATATGCTTAACCGCACCCATCGATTAGTCTCATTAAAACATTAAAGGAAAAATATCCGATTTGAAATGCAATTCATTATTAAAAAAAAAATAATAAAATATTGTTTTCTTAAATAAAAATGTTTTAATATTGGTTTAATATGGTCATAGATATTAAATGTATGTATATTGTAATCTTCTTCTTGTGAAGAATAAGGAATCATAAAATGTTAACTTTTTTCTTTGCAAAAATGTTCAATTTTTTCCGCTATTATCCTAATCGCATAAGAACGGTTACAAGTACATTACGAGTGGTCATATTTCGGTTGTTGGAGGTGCTGACAGGTTAACTCGCACCGGGACTTGTCGCATTTTAACCTGTTAACTGGGAAAATTCGCGACTCAAGTCGTCCTTTGCAAATACCTCTGCAATTTCTTGGACAAAGTAGCTGAATTCGTCGCGAAAATGTAAAAATTACATTCGCACATTATTCGTGCGTCATTTGAAATAAACTCGTATTCATATTTCCGATGAGCAAGACAAGTTAATTCGTTTTTGGTCACTTTTAATCGTACAGAGAGAGAGAGAGAGAGAGAGAGAGAGAGAGAGAGAGAGAGAGAGATCGGTTTTTTATCGAGAAATTACTCAGTTAACAGGTTATGATCGTACGTTTTCTCGGTAGAGTGTGAAAAACCTCATACTGCAGACTCTTTGGAATATCGAGATCAAAAGCCTTCGAATCGTTCAACAGACATTTTTTGACGGTCTTCAGTGACAATTCCTTTAGAGTGAACATCGGTAGCACAATATACACGTTGGTCCTCTCGATCCTTCGCGGCAGCTCGCTCTCCCTCATGCCGCGGTATTTCTCAAACCAGGGCACAGGAAAGAAAACGTCGTGCTGGTCCACCAAGTACCTATTTCGTTTCGCCTTAGGTATTATTAATTCGCCTAACGAATTTTTGGAAGAAAAAACTTGGCACTATGTGGCAATGTGCGAGGAATATTAGAAGCTGGCGAATGCATGAAATATTTGAAAGCTAGCGAATACGAGGAATATTTGAAAGCGAGTAATGCGAAAGCTGGTGAATGCGAGAAAGAGTTTTTCCGCTAAGTTTTTGCCTAATCTTTTTACCGACAGATTTGCTCGTCAAGTCAGTAGTAATATACATGTCGAAAAGTTAAAATAAAGTAAGATGCTTCGGTGAAAAAAATCTGGCGATAATTTTCCAGATATTAATCATTAAATTTCACAATAAATTAAATTTCTAAAAAAATAGCGAGCAAGATATTCTCCAATATCATTGTCTGCAATAGATATTATTTTCTGCACGATTGGCTTGTCAGCAATGTTAATTTAATTTTATTATAGCTACAAAATATTTTGGAAAGAATTGCTGATTATTTTAGGCTTTACTCCTTTTTGATATAACACAACTATAACAAAGTTTATTTCGCGTATTCATCAAGTTGCTTTTCTCAACGTTGAAGAATTTAACTCTTTATAAACTAAGATAAACCACACGTTAAGAGATGACAAGATGAATAAAAAAAGGTATTAATTGGAAAGCTCACCGGAATTATCTTACTTTACTTCAAATGCGCACTTTTTATAGATTTATTGCATCTTTTTGTATAAGCTAATTTTTTGTATAAATCAGATAGTTACAAACTTAATTTGCTCCAGAGTTCCCTTTCAAGTTCTTCGATAGAGTACTCTCAGAATTTTTGATCCTCGTTATTGCAATCGGAATTATTCATGATTTTCTCATACATGATAATTTACAGTAGATCAACGTTCTGCATTGCGTATTGCTGCCGATATAATATCGACAAGAAAATGATAATTGCGTAACACATACCTGTCCCACGTTTCTCTATTGACGAAAATCCACGGATGAGTCACAAACGTGTTTATTTCCTTGGACTCTCCAGGTGACAGATCGCCGTAATCAACCGGCTTCCCTCCATAATCTATCCAGTACAAGGTAATGCAGTGAGGCGTTCTGTTAATAAATCTGACGAAGGATTCGAGCTGGCTGTTGAGCGACCGGAATGGATGTTGTCTTTCATCCATTTTGCAATTTATTGCTCTCCGCTTCCTCTTCTTATTTTCGTAATGGAATTTCGAGTCTTTACTAATCTCTCTTGTCCTCTCTCCTCGAGAACTGAAATTAAAGATTATGAAGGAAAGTTAATTAAACGACGGCATTGCACGTTGGAATTCGATAAATACAAAATCTGTTGTACTTGTTCGCTATCTACAGTGGAATATTGATTCTCTCATTTCTATTTTATTTTTACTTTTTATTTTTATTTTTAAATTTATTCGTTAAATATATCGAAAATCGGAGTTTTGGTTTGACAAACGGAATTTTGTCCTTAATCTCCACATTCCGTTTCTCAATATAAAAAACATAGCGTATCGATGACCGATAATCTTCTTAGAGCCTCAATTTGCCTTTCAACATTTTCGACAAACTGAATTGTATCCCCGAGGCGATACGAAAAACACGAAAATTCGGTTTGTCACGGGTAAACAAGCCTATCTATGAAAATCGATTTATCAAGCACGGTTGCATCGCTTGAATTTGAAAAAGGAGAGAAAGAGACAGGGCAGAAAATCGATTGTGTCACAGGAATTTACTTAACCCGAATTCAATGCGATTTCCACGATGACTCGTCTAGAGTTAGAAACGCTTTACAAATTTCATTGCGAGCAGAAAAATATAATAATAATAATTCTGTATTAACAATAAGTCATAAAAATAAATATTTTTTTAACTTTTAAAGTTTTTAAATAACTCTACTAATATCAGTCATAGGTTGTTATTATTTTTTCTCACACTTTTCATACAAGGAAATAAATTTCTAATAATAACGTCGCAAATCCGATTACAGCAAACGCTAATTAAATCCGCTTAGAGACAAATGCGCAGGAACTAATTAGTTGCGCGAATGATTAGCTGCGACGACGACGAAGGGACGAAGGGGGAGAATCGAGCGAAGCATTTGCGATTTCAGTGAAGTTCCGAAGAGTCTCAAAGTGTTCCTAGAGACGATTACAAAGAGGGAAAAAGAGGGATAGAGGGAGAGAGAAAGAGAGAGAGCGAGAAAGGGGAGGGGGGGGGAGAGAGAAAACGGTGCGTTTTCCAGGATACGTAAACAGACGTACACAGACGGTCCCGTCTGCTGTATCTTGCATTTTCGCCCTTCGGCGCTCCGTAAAATCAAGCAGTCCGTTAGAGACGATCCGCGCTCTCGATGGCTTACAAAATAGCGAAACAATGCCGACGAACGTCGAAACTCCATTACGGTTTTTTGCAGAGGCGAACGGCGGGAGAGTACACACGCGCGCAGAATTTCTCTCGTATAATATGTACGAACTTTTGTACGCGAACTTTTGTGCATTTTCGTCTTGTTTCCACTTGTGGGATTAATCTGGCTGAGAGAAACCTTAAAAGCGCAAATCGATGACAATTTGTGCTTTTTGCGCCATAAAAAAATTTGCTTGGGGCATTGTGCGACATAATCGAATCGTCTGATCGTTCTGTGCGCGCAACATCAGCTCTCTCATCCCGCTCTCTATTCTCTGACACTTTCTGGTTTTTCGGAGCCTCATTCATTTCTTACAATTAGTTATCCTGATTTATTTGGTAATATTGCGCGATTTATTAGCGCCAATATTGACGATAGAAATGACAAATCTTTGGGGTTCCAAGTCCAACAAAACGTCAATATAGAAGTTTTCCGAGTTTTCCGATTTTCTGAGACCGGCTTGCGATTCGAAATGTGACGCGCCGCAGTCAGAATTAGTGACGACAGGGAGAGCAAGATTTACGTCCGGCGGAGTTCCGGCAATAAGAAGTTATTCCGTATATCTTGCGAGATTTATCGTGACGACTCTTTCTCGCGGGATACCAAGTTTCGGCGCAAGTTTCATCCGTGTCTGAATTTGAAAATTACCGCTGTATATCATAAAGATAATCGTGTTTTACCATCTCATTTCGCTAGATCAATTTCGTGCGTGCAGGCGTGAATAAATAATGACATAAATCAATGCTAATCAGCTTTGCGATAAAATACGTTCGCGCACAAAATATATGGAGTGCGCGATCGATCTTTCCTTAACTAAAATGTCAAGCGTTTAATTTAAATTTATCATCGAGAACTTTTAATTATAATAATAATATAATACACTTTTAACTCGATGCATTTTTACGCTAATATTTTTTTTTTTTTTGCATTTTTCATATATACACGTCTCGGAAAATATATGAAAAATTACTAAGGAAAAAGAAGATGAGTCTTTTAACAATTACAATATCAATGGTTATAATTTAATGCCAACATGTACATTGTCCGCACTAATTTAACATCATAATTTTTTTGACAGCTTATGAATAATATTAGACACCGCCCGTTCTAAAGGCAGGACGACTGGAATTCTTCAACGAGACACGTTTGTTCGGTTGAATTTATATTTTATCGCCGGTACGCGGATCGTCCGCAAAAATTTTGTAACAGCTAAATTACTCCGTCGGGAGGAATATTTCTGCGGGCAAAGCTCTTCGTGCGCAGCGTTGTGAAATTTCCCGGGAACTCTCAAAAGCGAAAATAGCGTTCGAGCCGGAATTCGAACATGGCACCACCAAACATACCGTAAAAGCGTAAAAAAAAAATACGGACCGAGCGAGGCGTTACATTAATTCGCATTTTTGGTGACGAACCCCGTGGTTTCGCCCGTTTCGAGTGACACGAGTGCTTTTTTTTATCTCTCCTTTTTTTACGTAGCCTTTGAAAATATTTCGCTGAAAAAATGGACAGGATCGCTTTAACAAGCTATGATTACCTTAAAAATATAATAAACGGCAAGCGCTTCGCGCCTACATGATAAATTGATCAACTTGTGGGATTGGTCGAAAAAAATTGGCTTTTACTGTGAAAAGCGGTTATCGCAACGGATTTCCCTCGTGACACTCGATCTACAAAAAAATCACGATGACGTTTCAAACTTGCAATTAACAATGCATTAAAGCGTAAATCCATGAGCGGTAATCCATCTTCTTTTTTCATATTTCGTGGTAAGAAAGCGACGAAAGTGCGTTATCGTCGATCACTCGGTTTTTTATCGTTTAGCTCTTCCCTCGTCGTATTGATGGATTAGAGTCTCTTAGAAAGCTGATAGGGATTAAATTGACTGGCGATTACGGCTCTTGTGCCGTCTGTTCACATTTGGGATCACTGCGATTTGCACGATAATTTATATTCGCATGAAAATCAAGATAAAAGCGCTTAATGAAATTTCATGTTAAACACGATATGGCATTCCCTTTGACACGAGTTTTATTCGACTGTGTGTGATGATATTTGTCGATAACGATTAAGTTGAAAGTATAATGTGACCGACATTCCCACGAAATAGATATTTTACGAATAATGACGAAAATCCGTAACAAGTTCCGAATGTGAATATATAAATCTATTTTCAAATTTATCTTAAAATTTGTCATTAATATTTCGTAATAAATTGATCATTTTAATGAATAAAAACATTCGATTGCTTTGTGTCACTTGCTAAATACAAATAAGTTACTCTCTAGAAAAAAAAGAGGAAAAAACTGAAATTCTTTCCATCATATTTTTTCTGTATATTTTTCGATAGAATACAATTAAAATTAATCGTCCGCCTCTTTATGTCAAACGTTTAATGTCAAAGAATTAATCACATTTCTCGGCCATTCCAATGTGATGATCAATCGATAGCGGGGAAATGCCTTACTAATGCAGGGCTGATTTTGTACCCGGATGCTGCACAGTCGTGCGGACAATTGCTAGAAAGTACGTAAAACAAGAGATCGAGCTTGCTATTTCGACTTCTCGTGCTGTAACCACAGATTGCCAGAGACAGGAGGAAACCTGTCATTGTATAACTCGCCTGGTAATTTGTAACTAATTCCGTAAAATCGCTGCAAGAAGGAAGAGCTGCAGCAGCGTCCCGGTGAGAGTTCTCTCTCGCCTAACGAAACCTCGTTTGCCTCACCGCAGAAACGATCATTGCACATTACAACGCGTAAATAAACCCATGCGCCAAATATTCGAAACAAGCCGATAATTAGAGAGCCCTGAGATAGACATGGCAATTATCCGCAATGTTTGCAGCATGTTATATGCGATATATGCTGATTATTTTGCGTTATACAAATTGTTTCTATTATAACTGAGATAAAATTTTTATCAAAAACCGTGGATATCATATTTTCCTAATGCTATTTATGACTGGAACGATTTTCCTTTCAAAACAAAGTGAGTTAGATACAGCCAGCAGATAAAACGATAGAAATCTTTCAAGTTGAAAATCGAGGGCGATTAAAATCTATCGGTCAGAGAGAGAGAGAGAGAGAGAGAGAGAGAGAGAGAGAGAGAGAGAGAGAGAGAGAGAGAGAGAGAAAGAGAGAACTAGTGATGTATTTATTTGCGCCAAAGCTAGTCTGATAGATATCCTGCCAAACACGTAAACGATATATATCTGACAAACTAACATGGAAGATGGAGTGGTATCCAATAAGACCGTTCGGCAATTCGGTCGTCGCGCGAAAAATAAGATATCTCGTTTTCTTTATAGAACAAGAGTAATAAAATATTTGTTAAGAAAAAGAAATATCCAGATGCAAATCTACAAAATTTTCAGATTATAATACCACAAAACAAGAAAAAAATTTGGAAGCTCAGACGGAGAACCCGCGGTACGTCGCGAGTTAATAAAAGTCGATGAAGTTGTAATTCTGTCGTAAGAAATAAGAACGGGTTTGCGCGTTTCCCGATTCAAGCCAACTCGCATTCGTGATTCGCTCGCTCGCTCGCTCGACTCGACTCGCCAGATGTATGCACAGTTGTCTGCAGCGAGAAGACGGCGCAATATTGGGGTTTGCAGCCTCGTCAAGTATTTACTTAGGCCGAGTTAGACGCGTAGTGAGAAACGAAGACCACGAGATGCAGACCGAGAAACGAATACTTTATTATAGCGCTGCACACAGCTAGTCTTGAAATTACAAAGGAACCGTGCGCATTGTCGTG